TGGACATACTGTTGGCTAATGGCGCTCCCTGGTAGGAGCTAAAAGGCTGATTACACAGCAGAGCCAGTGAAGAGGAGTGACGGGTCAGCTCACTTACAGGGTGACTTAACTTACAGGGTGACTGTCTCCTAACTGTAGGTCAATAGCTGTGACGGCACAGAACGTCCCCATCTCCTCGTCAAGAGCTGCATCTTGTTTGTCTTCCTGAGTCCTCTTCGTTGGGCCCCGTAGTACTTCACTGACTGATCGTCAGGTTCTTCCCAAATCATATAACCTCTCGATTGAGGGCGTGGCGAGCCGCCAAGCCCCTTCCGCTCAGCCGTTCTCTGCGCGGCTAGAGAAACCGTCCGCGAGCCTCAGGCCTCCTCTGCCAGGGCTCGCCTCTCTCCAGGGCCTCTGCCCTGGCTCGGGTGTGGCCAGCCTTGAGACAGTTGAGAAAATAGGCTCTCAACTGGCTTCGTGGGATTCAAACCCCAGCTGAAAAAGGCTGTACCCTCAAGCACCTCAAACACTACTTATAAAACTCCCCCACTCTTTATTCCCCTTCTTCCCTTTTCTCGCTCTCTGTTGTTCCCCAGCCTCCCCACTGGTGCAGAGGTCCTTGAGCATCCAGGAGGTATGAGATTGGCTTTCCAGTGTGAACCCCAGTCCCACAGCGGCAGCACCCCTTGGGACCTGACACAAATGCTCTTTCTCCGCGTCTCCCTGGTCTCCTGCTCCCAGGTGAATCAGAAACTCAGAAGGCAGGGCCCAGCCGTCAGTGTTTTAACAGGCCCTCCAGATGTTTCTGATGTGCTCAAGTTTAGAAACCATTGCCCCAGGTGTGGAAAGTGGACACTGCTAGACCCTGGAACATAAACATGACTGAGATCGTGTCCTTGACATTGAGCAGCAATCTACTGGGAGAAACAGATTGGAAACAGGAACTCCAAGGATTCTGAGGCAGTGCAAACCCAGAACCACCCAAGGGGCTGGCTGGCCAACTGCATTTTAGAAGGTGGATTTGGAAGAAATTATTTAAAAAAAATAGATAGATAAATCCTTGAACTAAGTCTGAGACTAAAACTGTCTCCTTGGGGTTTGAGGGGAGGATGGTTTAGTCCATAAAAAGGATCATGATGCACGTCGTTGTGCTTGTAGTGATGGCAGGCACAGGCCTCAGCTTCCAAACAGCACCTTGTTGGGGGGTGGGGTGCAGGTGGAGGAAAGTGGGGGTTCTGCTTGTTCTATGCTGAATCCCAGGGCCCTAGGAGGCACCAATGTCTGCTGACTGAGCCCAAAGGCCCCAACATTCCCACATCCTAACTTTCACTGGATCGTTTTTTCTCAGCTTGATATTAAAACAGATAAATCTCATCGTGAGTTTTCTGCTTGACACACCATGTTCCTGCACGAAACCAGCCACAGACTGAGGGTCACGTGTGCTGGACCAGTGACCTTTCAATATGCCGAGGCGTTAGGGAAGCCCGAGCGCTGGCCAGAAACCAGCTTAGCCTGAACCCACCATGCAGAATAGTGCTGCTTCCTGTAAGCACACTGTCCTCCCAGCAAAAACCACGCCAGGTTCTCACTAAAATGTGAAGAGCCGCAGTCCAGGCATCGTCTTTCCTTCGGCATCAGTGAAAATCAAGCCTGCACACAGACGCGAAGATGGGCCTGGTTCTCCAGGAGTCCTGCTCTCTTAGGGTCCCTGTGCCAGATGCTCACTCTTCTTTCTTCTGGATGCCAGGCCTACTTCATAGCATCAGAAACCGCCCCCAGGGCACCTTCCCACTGGCCGGCGACAGGTTTGCTGGCCGACTCAAAGGGGAGGCTTTGTGCCAGATCAGACCGGTCCTGAGGTTGCCTTCCTTTCAGAGGCACTTCTAAGGGAGCCAGCCGGTGGGATGTCCTCCCCTGCACCCCGACCTAGCCTGGCTCCGGGTACCCCATTAATTACATCCCTGGCTGGCTCGCTGGGGCCTCTGATCTGACAAGCCCAGGAGGGCAGCTTTAACCTGTGTTGCTCAGTGATCACAAGCCTTGGAGAGGACAGCAGGGCCTTAGAGCTCAAGGACGATCCCCCCGTCGCCCCAAGCTTTGCCACTGTTTCCTGGGGACACGCAGCTTCCAAGTATTGACCTTAGAAATGGTTTGGCAGGTGATGCGCGGAGAAATGAAATTTTTTTTTTTTTTTTTGCTATGTAGACATTTAATAAAACTGATTATCTGCCAGTAATAAGCTTATCTTTATTCACACTGACATGACTACACCTAAATCCAAAAAATAAAGCCAACATTAAAATAGATCAATTTAAATTCAGCAAGATAGCAGGACATATGGGGTCAATCTACACACAGCAAATGTACTTTTAAAAGAATAGTCAGTAACAATTGAAAAGCTGCATTAAGACAACATTTGAAATGAAAATATTGTTAACAACTGAAGGGGCGGTGGGCTTTCCTCTACTCCTCTTATCCCCAATTCAATCTTTCACATGGCCTCTAGCAAACAAGAAGTGAACTCGATAAATGTGGCCCCATGTTAACTTCTCTCTCTGGTGCGCCGTGGGGCCCCTGCGCGTGGTGTGTGTGTAGCTACACCAGCGCCTTCCAGAGCCAGAGAGCTGCTCTTGCTGCCACTGGGCACACAGGTCTGGGTGCTGCCCTGGAGAGGCCCCACATTGTAGGGGGCCCTGCGGGGTGGGGCGCGCACAAGTGGTGTTTCTGGATCTCAGTTCTACGTCTTTACAAGGTGGGTCAGGGGCCAGCCATCTCTCCCAGGGTCAGGATTCAACAAGTTTAGGATCCTGCTCCAGAGCAGTACCCGAGGCAGGAGTGGAGAAGGGGTGCACGCTTCCTGCAGTGACCGGGGCCCCCTGTTTCTAGGTGAACATTTGGTTTCATAGCATCAGCAGGGGTAAGCAGTGAAAAAAAACAGGAGTTGTTACGAGATGAAATTTTGTGTCTCTCTTGCTTTAGAAGAAAACAGGATATGATTTTAAATAAGTGTTTGCCATTTCTTAACAGTTTACTTCTTAGTTTGCTTCATGCATTCACCCTGCTCAAGTTTATTTACCTGCATCCGCGTGTCCTGGGCCAGGGTACGGCCCGGGCTTACAGGGCCAACGTAGCTTGATAGGGTTATGCATTCAGACATTTCAAAACATGAATAATGTTGATCTAGAACAGGGACATGTGAGATCTGGGCGACCACGTTTTCCTTGAAGGTGAGGCCCTGAGTCCTAAGCCTCTCTCTAAGTAGTGCCAATCCATGGATGGGCAGTCAGCTGGGTGTTTTGGAACTTTGCAAACTTTTTTTTTTTGCCTCCACACATCTTATTATAAAGTTTGTTTTCTGTTCATTCAGTACTTCAGTTTCTCTGTAAATTATTCATTTCAATCTTTGCCCCAGGAGCAACCTTACGGTTACTGTTTGTGCAAGAAGTATCTGTTACCCACCTTGCTCAAAAACAGAGCTGCTACTAACCTAGGGTGCATTGTTAATTCTCTTTTAATTAATGTATGAGTTAGCAATTAAGTAATTGTTATTTTAGTACCTTGGTTTTACAGAGAAATATTTAATAGCCAAGTAACACCTCACACACCAGGAGTCCATCTGGTGGTCACCCTTTTTACTTTTCCTGCTTGACTTTTTACATTTCTTCAGCATGTTTGGTTGGAGAGGAAAAAATTTAGTCTGCAGTTTGTTTTGACAAGCTGTGGTCAAGAGTGTTAAATGAATGTGCGGTTCTGGAGTGCTGGACAGACAGCCTTGGCATTCTGAGCATGTTCAGACAAGGCAGAGTACAGGGGCAGAATTTTGTAAAATAGACCAGGGTAGTTACACTTCTGGGAAAAGGTTGGTAAGGTAGTTCTCACAAAACTCAGAAATTAGTGAAAACACTGATGCCAACCACGTCATTTCATTCTGAGCTATTGATTTCATTTATTTAAACATTTGATGATTGTATGACCCCCAGTTATTACTGTGACATTTATTGTCAACAAGAATTACTTTCCTAAGAGTATTTCCAAGTTTCGCTGCACTTGATCAAATAGGAAGCTGAGGTCTGGCCTGCAGGGGAAAGGTGGGAGGGAGCCCAAAAAGTCAGGAGAGGTAATTATTGATGGTTTGGGAGAACCGTGTTGCAAAATGAACTCCTGAAAGAGATCGTCCTTTATGGGACAGACACTTGCTTGTCCAAAGAGGATTGAGGTTTTGAACATTAGGAACATCAGGAAGCAGCAGTTCTTGATGGTTCAGCTTACATGAGTGTGTGATGCTGTTTAGAGATATTACCACTTGTGCTCAGGCATTCGGATTTTCTGAAAGCTGAGAGTGCGATCACAAGCAACGAAAACCACAGCACAAGGAAGGAGAAAGCCAGGAATTATTAATGTACACATTAAGTGTCTTAAGTGTTCAGACATATAAATTTAGGAGAGGTACACTGACATTTTTCAATAGAAAAATAAGTTGTTTCCGCAGTTCGCCATTTGCTAGACTTTGTGTCAGAATGCATTTTAAGGGACATGAGATTTATTGCCTTTGTTTTGAAGGAGTAAGAAAGTTAAATGCTGTTTCATTTGCATATTAATATTATCTTGGTAACAGAATAAGGAGGCACACCTGCTTGTACTAGGTACCTGCAGGTAGGTAAAATAGAAATCACACTAACTTCGGTCATGGGTGAAACACCGGGTCACATGATTACAGAGAGTATGAACACAAAATGATGCTACAATTCAAAATGTATTTAATAATAAGCAATGTAAGTGATTGCAAAATAATAATTATTTTCTCTCCATCTTCGTCTCCCAATAAAAATGATGTATTAAACTACTTAACTGTCTACTCTGTATTAAATTTAGAAAATTAAAAGTAACTTCACTTGTTCTTAGTTTATTTATAGCTACCAAATTGTTGGTGCATTGGGAGGTAATTTGCTTAGTTCGTTATTTACAGCATGTTTGAAAAGTAATTCAAAGTCATTCTAACGCCTCTTCTTGTTTTACAGCTTGGTTCATCCTCTTCTGTACCTTTTAGGTCTATTTTTTCTCAGCTCTTTATGACTGTCGTGGTCCCCCTCGTTATTGGACAGGTAGGTCTCTAGTTCCCCTCGCCCTGCTCATTATAAATCAAACTGTGGGCGCTTATGTCATGTCAAGACAATGGCGAGAAAGAGTCAGAAGAAGAGAGTCAATGAGAATTGCAAGTCTGTAACAAGAGGCTTCATCAATCACAAAATCCTCATCTGTGTTTTTAATTAACACCAATCTGCCTTGCAGATAGCTGTGGAGAGACACCTGCAAAGAATCTTGATTTTTTTTTTCAATTTATTATCCCTTCCTCATGGCTACTACATCTAGCAAATCGTTACTTTATTCTGATAGATCTAATACAGTCTCAGCGGTAGACTTATTTTGGGGAATAAGTCTCTGATGTTGGCTGACTTCTTCATAAGCTCCATCGACAGAGGCTATCATCATTTTAAGGGTGGATTTGATGAAATCAGCATTTCATTCTGTTGGCTCTTAAAATTGAACCCTAGAAAGCTTTGTTTTATCGTTCTTGTTGATTTAGATTAATACATGAAAATTTGTATTTCAACTTCTTATAATAAGTTAATGATAAGCATGTAATTATATGTATACAGATATAGAGATATGTATACAGCTATGTATACATATAGGTATATGTATACAGATAATTTGTAATCATAGTTACCTGCAGTCAAGGAAGACAGGATTTAATATTCTAGTACATGAGTGAGATTTAGAAAATAGAGTATTAGGATGGCTTAAGAACATAGATGTTGGTTTAAGGGCAACTAGATTCTAGTTTATTTGCCGTGTGACCTTGAGCAAGTCATTTCATCTCCCCAGCTTCAAGTTCATAATTTATTAAATCATACAATAATAGTGCTGTCTTAGAGGGTTGTTGTAAGGATTAAATGAAATGCAGACGCATGAGAAGGTTTTCTCATCACAGATCCTGATACAGGTACATCGTTATCAAATTCCCTGCCAAGTCATTGAAATAATGGCTATAAAAGTGGTATATGTATTATTGACAGGCTGTCAAAGTCTGATCCTCCAAGAGAGAGTTTTAAGTTGCCTGGGTCAGGTTGTGTTGGTCTGTCTCTAGCCAGGTCTCATTGCCTATAAGGCTGTTTGACATTTCTATAAGGCATCGTCTTTTAAAAAATTAAAAAATGACACATTCTTGAGAAATGGAGAATGATCATAGCAGAAGGAAGTGGCTGAGCTGAGAGAAATTGAGGTTTTCTTGAGCACATCTTTGAGCTACGTCAACGCAACTTTACCTGGGGTACAGGCAAGAGGTGCAGGGGCAGTGAGAGGATTCACCAGAGACAGAGTGGGGAGCAGAACAGGCAGATCTACTGAAATACACTGCTGAGGGGAGCAGCGGGTGGTCAGGAGAGGTCTGCCGCGCCATGTGGGTCACCTCCAGGGCCTGGGACCAACTCACCCTTTGGCCAGCTTGCAGTGCTGCACTTTAACCCCTTGCACCACCAGGGAGGGCCAGCTTATAAAACATTTTAAGACTTTCTACCTATAGAGTGCAAAAGCAGCTTGTGAATTTAATTTTAGAGTCTGATGGAAGAGCTCCTTGGAGCCTGGCAAGGTAGAAAAATGGATCGCTTAGAAAGCACAGAACCACTAAAAGACTGAAAACAGGGAAAGGCGATTTGTTTTCCGCTAGGGTTGTGTTACACTCGGTCGGTCCAGTTCCCAACTTCCTAGTGTGTCCTTTGTGGAGATTAAGTATCCAGCATTAACGCACTGATGAGTTCAGAAGAGACATGTGATCTGGGAGGACCCAGAACCCAGGAGCCCCCATTTCCTGCCATATTGTCAGTGTCTTACACTGTGAGACTTTGTAATGAAGGAAGAGGTTATTTACATTAGCTGAGTTAACATGCAGCTGGTAAGTTGATTGGAAATTAGAGATTTGTCTTAGTGTTTAAAATGGCTTTGGCCTTTGAGTTGTACCTTGCTTGTATTTACTTGTTCACTTTGTCAGGAGGGCTATGGTGGCAGAACAGGAAGACATTTCTACTTTTGGAATTAGGGTCACATATTCTATGGCCTATTGCAAAGCAAAGAGAGATACCTGTGCTTTTAACCACTGTATATTCAAACAAGATAGGAAGGGAGCATCCATTTCAATCACTCCGCAGCTTCCACTTCTTTTCTAAAGGAGCTTAGTTGTATTAAATTTGGACAACTACCAGGTTTATGCCACCAAATACAATACATTCTGAGGTGACCTTCTAAATGACCTCCTTCTGTAGCCTTCTAATAAGCAGCTACCCCATGGTGACACCCCTGGACATGGGGCCATGTGGGTACCTTGGGAGTTATCAGGCCAAATTGTATCCAGATATATCAGCCCCTAACCCTATGTGACGATCCTCTGATTTTGCTTTATGCCACTATGTTGTAACTTTAAAGAAAAAAAATGAACACTAGATACATTACTATGGTTTAGAGTTATTACTATAACAATACCATTAATTACGGCATCTACTTATTTAAAGAATTACATATATGTGTGTATATACACACACACACACGTGTGTACCAGTATATAAACACCTTTTCCCCTTCATTCCCATTCAACTTAACCTTCAGGTTTTGTGAAAGCCTTTTAGTCAGGTTCTGCCAGGACTCCATTTATCAACACCCTTCCTACACACGCCCTTCCTGTGTGTCTGCAAAGGTGGCCCCATTGTGGATGGAGCCTTTTTTGTGACAGAGCAGAAGATGACAGAACCCCATCAGCCTTGTCAGGAGAAGTTCCCTGACCTCATTACTGCTAATGGCTCATGGTAATTCAGCCTGTTGTGAAACCTCATGTCCAATTATGCCGGATAATGAGTGACTCAAAACTTAATATGTCTCAACTGTAGTCCTTAATGTAGCACTCATTCAGCTTCTTTCAAAAGTAAAAGGTTTTAAACAGAGTAGTTCACTGTTCTACCCAAACGGAAGTTACAAAAATCCTCAGACTGCCCTGATTTTAAATAGCTGATCTGATTTTATAGCAGAAGACCGCTATGAAACTTTATGTTCATTGATCCTTTTGGCAAAAAGTTAGAACAAGTTTATTCATTTTTAAATGTTAATTCTAGAATTCTAAAAACATGCAAATGGCATTTGTCTTTGAATTCACAAAAACTCTAGATAGTCAGAGTTTGAATTATTTAAACTCCCACAACGCATGCACTTTTGCTTTTCAAGCATGAGTTATAATTTAATTAAAAACTTCTGGTGCATTGCTAGCATGTTAAATATTAATATGTACCATGGATCACTTTCGATTATCTACTGTCTTGAAATTCTTGAAGATGTCAGATTTTTAAGATCCCCAAAGTTGCACTTGGAATTGTCTGGTGAGGCAAAGGGGATTGTGATAATTACACACATCCATTAGGATCAGCAGAGGAGATAAACGTTAGGGACACTTAATGGGCATGTCTCAGTGACAGCTAGCAAGGAACATTTGGCATGATAAAGGGCAGATTTGAACACCGTTGAAAATATGCTCTCATTATGGACATTGGTAGAAGTTACATTACAAATGTGAGACCCCTCGAAGCAGAGCAGTGTGGCAAGGAAGCTCTGAAATCCTGTGTGGCCATCGCCCAGATTATTCTCTCCCCTTTATGTCTTTCTGCTGTCAGCATCGCTTTGTGCTGTCTCATGTGACTCCCCGCTTCTTTGGAAAAAGCAACCTGTTGATCTCTGTATTTCAGATTGTCCGAAGATACATCAAGGATTGGCTTGAAAGAAAGAAACCCCCTTTCGGAGCCGTCAGCAGCAGCGTCCTCCTCATGATCATCTACACCACGTTCTGTGACACCTTCTCCAACCCCAGCATTGACCTGGACAAATTCAGCCTTGTTCTCATACTGTTCATCAGTAAGTCAGAGGGTGGGGTACTCTTCCATCCAATGGGTCTCCTCACTGGCAAAGTGCAGCAGTTTGTATTTTCACCATCCAGTCTGAGTGTGAATTAGATTAGAAAGGAATACTTAGTTTCATATAGTAGAAACCCAGTAACTTTCTCACCTGTATCATTCTTGAAAACCCCGATATTAGTTATACATGGTTATACATGCATGAGTGAATCTCTTTTGGTTTGTGTTTGATTTGTAATAGTTGATGCCAGTTGAAGGAAGCCGTAATATCTGTCAAATTCAAAAATCAGAAGGAATACTTATCTTCTGATGGATTTTAACTTTAAGCTAATCTCACCCTTTATTTTAAGTTAACATTAGGATTGATATTGTAGGATACAATCAATTTTTAAGTATGCTAGTTGCTTATAGTCATTCAAATGTGAATCTTGACATCATCCTTCTTATTCACATATTTCCAAAGTGATATGATTTTAAGAAGCAGCGGAGTGTAAAATGCACACAATTGCTGAGACTCTTATTATCCTGTCAGACCAAAGACACCTCTTGGTAGTTATGGTAACAAAGACTCTTGTTATTAAAATCAAGATGAATCCTTCCAAAATATATATCACATGATAACACACTCAGGCTATTTGCTATGCCCCTGGTATAAACCAGCTCTTTCTAAATTGAACAAGTTAAATAGCAAACTGTTAAATGAAAGGTTTTAGACTTGCCCCGAGCAGAGGCCACCGTCGTAGAGTCTGGCTGGGACCTCGTCAGGTTGAGCACACTCATTTAGATGGGTGTCAGCTTAGGAATGTGTGCTTGGTGGGTTGATTTGTTTGTTTATTCTTCCATTTTCAGTCCTGTAAGTTTCAGCTAAAACTAAGCATACCAGTAAATATAACAGAGTCGGCTTCTACAGTGCTAATTTAGATTCAATGTTTTTTTCTTCAGTTTTTTCTGTTCAGCTGAGTTTTATGCTTTTAACCTTCATCTTCTCAACAAGGTAAGTGATTGGGCATCTCTTGCTGTTCGTTTCTAAGTGAGACTCGGGCACTCACTTGGCCTCTGTGCCACTGCCCTGTTCCAGGCCCATCCTGGCTTCCTGGCCCTCCAGCACACCCCTGTCTCCCGGGAAGGCATGGCTGTCACCACAGGGTCTGTCCTTGGCTCATCTGTGCGCGTCGGGTGTTAGTTTCCTCCTCCATTCCCATGACGTGAGCTGCCTGCTGCTGCTGGTCAAGGGTAGCCTGTGGCCCAGGGCGTTGTCACTTGTGGGCACCTCACTGTTCTGACAAGACCTCAGACCAGGATAGTCAATGTGGAATTAACCCCCCTCCCCACCCCCAGGCTTCCCCTTTCTCTCTCACTTCATTTTTTGTTTATAATGGAACCATCATCCAGAGAGTTGCTTAGACTGACCCTTCACCTCATTGCTTCCAAAACTCTTGACACTACCCCTGTGATAGGTCTTGTGCTCCCAAAGCCACTCCCCAATTTAGGCTTCTGTTGCCTCTTTTCTCCCTAGACTATTGCCATAGATATTTTCATTTCCAGGCTCAACTTTTCTTATGGATTTTGTACTCCCTCCAAAAACTCAGACATTCTGATAATAACTCTCTTGTTCAGAGGTCTTTAGAGGTTATTGAGCGCCTGCAGAATTTAGTTCCTTTTGGGGATGAAGCACAAGGCCCTCTCATCTCTTTTCCAATCTTAGGAACCATTACAGCCTTTCATACTGTCTAGGCTTTAGGTGAAGGTAAAATCTGGCTGTTCCCTAACAGTACTTCATAATAGCCCGCACCATCCCCATATCTAAACTGGACTGCATGTCCGGGTGTATCTTACCTCTTCTTACAGACTCATCTCGGTGCATTTTCTTCTACCAGTTTTATACTTTCAACTGTTGTTACTTGAGCCTTTAGTGTGAGAAATTTACCATAGTGAATGCCACAAATGAGAGATGACTCCAACCCCATGTGAGAGTTTGAGCTAGCTAAGTACCCTGACCCCCGTGTCCTGACCAAGTCATGCAGTAACCCAGCCTGTCACCAGATAAAGAAGAAAGGCCCTCGAGAGATAGTGCTAGATCAGGCTTTGTGGAAAAGATAGGTTTTGACTTGAGTCGTAAACAAGAACTAGACTATTGCCATAGATATTTTCATTTCCAGGCCCAACTTTTCTTACGGATTTTGTACTCCCTCCAAAAACTCTTTGAGCAGAGACTCAAAGAGGGGGTTCTCGTGGGAGAAGAAATAATGCAAAGTGCGTGCACACACATGCACACCTCCCCCACACACACACACACACAGACGTGGTGGCCAACAGAAATAGAGGTATCTTGAAAATAATAGTAGTATCCGGAATGATAGGCTTAGACCAGCGCGCCAGGCCCTTGAACACCAGCGGATAGCAGTGAACTGTCACAGGAAGAAGGGCCCGGCTCATCCTGGGGCCTGAAACAATGTCAGTGGTGGACTGTCCAGGCCTCACAAGAGGCTCTTGGCTTTTGTTAGCCTCTGGTCTAGGCTGATCGTATCCTGTCTATAAAAATGTATTGATCTGTGTCATTTGAAGCATTTCCCAAGCTTGTGGTTGTGATTCATGAAGTAAGACGAAAGCCTGGAGCCATTAAGTCCCAGAGCAGATGTGCCTTAATTGGGAAGGCCTACGAAGAGGAGCTGTTTGAAAGTTTCTTTTTGATGGCATGTTGTGTCACCTCAGACGTGATGTGCCTCTCACTGGCTGCCTCCACAGGCAGCTCTTCCTCTCAGACAGGGCGGGGCACAGATTCCTCTCATACAGCAACCTCTCCTGGTCTCGCTGAAGGGCAGGGGTGGTGTCAGATGGGACTTAGGGAGGCTTGAATTGAACTTGAGAATTTTCAGCTTGGAGTGAATTGACCCCTATCTGTGCCAAGCACTGGCTGAGGACTGCACATGTTATTTTGTGTAAGTCTGACGGCAATTACCATGAGACTCTGGAGTCTTACTGCTGTTTTGCAGAGAACGTGCACGGGGGTGTTGAGTTGTGTAAGTTACCTGAAATCAGATTGTAATAGTTTAGCAACTCACCCAAAATCAGACAGCAGCTAGTACCCATGGAATGGAAAGCCATTTCCATTTGTCACTTCCAAAAACATTTGCCCCAACTTTTTTTTTGTACTCGTTGGACTACTTCAGTTACTTTCAAAATTCATATTAGTTTTCGTTAGGGAGTTTGTGCAATGTGTCTCATTGGTTGGATTCCGTAAGTTCATGTACACACAAGTTAGTGATACACAGAGCTCACATGAAGACCCATTAATTTATACTCTGTTGGGTTTCATTCTCCTTCCTATATCACGTCCCGTCCTACTTAGAAGGCGTGAAGTTGGCCCGTGAGGGTGTTTTCTTTTTAAGTAAATCAAAAAAGCATCCAGGTATCAAGAGATAACTATCTTAGCACGACATCAGTCTGTCCTTTTTCTGTATTGCCCACCACCGACCTCTGTCAACGGACGTTAATGAGTCAGGAAAGACCTCGCTAGAAAGCCCAGTCACTACTCCTGCTGGCTGGCATTCTTGGATTTAGTGACTATGAGTATTTGAAATACGTTTGTGAGCTCTTCTGTATTTTCCTTTGTCTCTATGTACAACAGTACCAGGGTTAAACGTCCCTGTTGAGGAGTTAGATAGCTTAAAGTTTCAATCCAGTTTAAGAATGTTGTAACTTTTGTCAGTGTGCACATTTGTAAAATAGAGACAGCAGGTGTGTCTTATAGTGCTAAATGACCCCCATCTTAAAGGGCCTTGGTGTGAACTTAGCATACAGTAATAGGCACTACTGTATAGAAGCTACTTTAGGATGTTTATTATAGCAAAAGAGTTTGTATTATTCCAAAACCAGTGATGGAGGGGGAGGAATTAGCATTTCTAGCTTCATAATATATTCTCATTTGACATTTTTCTGTCACTAGCTAAGAAATGAGAGTTGATTTATCACACCAAGGGCTTTAGTGCCCTAAACTTCTCTGTGGCTTTGGGAAGCTGCCAAAATTAAAACGAAAAATTGAAAAAGCTTAGAAAAAGATAATAGTACTTGGAAACATATTAAGATATGTAGATAAAAGTTTGATAGACTGATAACTGGAGTAATAGAATCTAGAGTATGGCTAAAGCGATAAAAGGAAAGAAAGAAACATTCAAATATTTGCGTAAGTGTTTCAGTCTCATCAGTACATTTCAGTAAGGTGTCTCAATGGGTCTTTCGCCCCCAGCCCTGGGAGGGCATGAAGGGTCAGGGAGGCTGAGAGGGAGAGAAGGAAGTGGGGGAGGAAGACAGGCATTATTAATGTTATTGCTCAGTCTCCTTCACCATTTCAAGGTGAGGCAACTAAATCCCAGGGCTCTAGGTACTTCTCTGGGGCCAGAGCTAATGACAGAAAACATTTCTTAAAATGAATGAAGACAAAACACAGGTGTGGAGGTTAACAAAGGAAAATATTTCACATGGAAGTTTCTTCCTCTCCAAACAGGGGCGCAGACAGAGCAATCTCAGAGGGCCTTTTCTGTTCCACATTCTGTGATTGTAGTAAAACCCTCTGACACCATCTCCTTTGTGGGTACTGGCAAGAAGGCAGAGTAAATACCATGTGGCAAATGTGGATTGAAAGCTTTGCAGGAGAGAATAAAAAGGCCAGTCGGGAAGAAAAGGAAGTAAACATCTCAAGGGAAGCCAAATGATCAAAAGAATTATAAAAACAAGATAAAAAGAAAATCAATATTAAAAAGAGATAAGGTAGAGAGTTAGAAAATAAATACTGATGTGATTCCTGTCAAGACTATAAGCAGATGCAATAGAGACATTAGCCACTGAAGATAATTGTCCTCGTCTGGTTTCGCTGTTACTGTCTTGACTTTCCACTCAGAAGCTGCAGGGGGGTTACTCATCACCACAGCTGCCCCTGGCCTCTAAATTGTGGGGTGGTTTTGGGTTTGGGGTGCTGGATGTTCACTGCTATGTTGATCCTGCTCCCCTGAGGGAAGCGTCTGTGAGCGCTGGCCTGGTAGATGTCCCCTGGATCTATGAAGCCTGCAACCGCTGCCTTGCGGAGCCAGCACAGGCCAGCCTGCTTGGGCAGAAGATTATTCTTACGTTCCATTTTCATGTCTCTGTCCTTCCCTGCTGGGGAAGACTGTCAGTAGGACTATGGGGCCCTGTTCCACGTGGGCCACCTCCTCCGTGTCCGGCCCTGGAGCACGAGGGATGTCGCCTTAGCAACGGCAGCCCGCACCTGCTTCAGCACAGCCTTCTCAGTCAGAGAAATTTGACATGTTGGAATCATCCAGTAATCTGGGAACGAGCAAGATCACAAGTAGAATTCACCACAGGGAAGTGTATTGCCAGAATCTCTAGGAAGAAGTCGAACTGCGTAAAACCAGACACAGCAACAGCTGGTTATAAACAACAGCAGAAGAAGACTCAAGGGGCCTTTTTTTTTTTAATTTTAAATTTATTTATTTATTCATATAGAACTGGGATACAGGCCACAGATGAGGAGGGTGAGAGGATTCACCAGAGACAGAGTGGGGAGCAGAACAGGCAGATCAACGAAGTACACTGCTGAGGGGAACAGTGGGCGGGTCAGGAGAGGTCTGCCGCGCCATGTGGTCACCTCTGGAGCAGGCGGGAATCGAACTCATGCGGAAGTGGCCTTAGCTTCTTAGTGCAGCGCTTTAACCCTCTGCGCCACCAGGGAGGGCCTCAAGGGTCCTTTTTTTACTAGCACCAAGAGCTGTGCTGGAAAACGACCCCAAACGGGCCTGTCTCACGTTGATCCTGTGTGTAGATATGGTTTATTCTTTGTGAGTTCACTGGATACCTTTTTCCTCAATCTGCCTATTTTAAGCTTTTCTAATTTCTTCGGTTCTTAGGCCTCAGTATTCCCTCATACTCTGTGGTGAGTGATGTGCCTTCCACTTTACCACGAAGTCAGCTCTGACATAAAGTACCTCCGGTTTCCCATTCCCTGTGGGAAAAATATCTACATTTGACTCACCGTGTCTTCTTTGCTTCCCAGACACAGCCTGTAGAAAACCCTGTCCCTTCAGACTGACCTCCACAGTCTTGTCTTATCCGGCATCCTGCAGCCCTGGTTCACTCATTATTTCTGGCTACTGTATATCCGTTCTCTTTACACACATTGTCCAAATCTCCCATGTTTTTTTTTTTTTCACCAGATTTCTTGAAAACACAGACCTCTCTCCCTACTATATATTCACACACTTAAGTACCAAATCCTGGATCTTCTTGCCAGACCCCAGGAGGCCTCTTCTCCATTCTCTTATTTCCATTAACGCCTCAGTGGTCCTGTCGTTCCTCTGTGCTCAGAGTTCTTCACTTCTCTCTCATCCTTCCTCTTCTCCCAAAGCGACAATAACAGTAAAAGTAGTGATGCACAAATATCAGACGCTTGCCAGTGACAGATTCTTAGCAAATTTTGGCATTTATTTATCCACACAAAGAGCCAACCATTTTATATATAAGCAAAAGGATGGTGCGGATTTAAATTCAGGTATGTTTGACCGCAAGCCTGTGCTTGGGTCTTGGGAAGGAATATTTCGGAGATTAGCAGCTGGCAAGTTCTTTTGCCTCTATCCTTGTGTCTCTTACCACCATCTGCTCCCCCACTGAGATGCTTCAGGCCTTAGAGCTTTCTGCTGCCTCCCCTGCCTCGCCAACTTCAGAATTGTGCCAGGTGATGCCATTCCACCTCCTGAAGAACAGCTCTGACCTGGCATTCCACCCCCCCCACATCCTGTGGCTCTTGTCACCTTGTCAAGTCCATGCACCTGGTGTCAAGCGAGTGTCACTGAACACCAGACAGCATGGAAACGGCCCTGTAGTTCCGCCCTCCAGTTCCTCATCCTTTGGCTAAAGTGCACATCTCTGTGTGTCTGGTCTGTCCTTCAAAGCCCAGCTCAATTGCTGTTTCCTCCGAGAAGGTTCCCTGTGTGCTCCAGCATCTCCAACCCCCTGACAAACTGGAGTTTGCCTTCTCTGGGGGGCTGAGTTCACGCACTCTGTGGCTGTCGCTCTCTCTGGCGGTCACGCTCTCACCACCCCCACTCCGGAGAGTGCCTCACACACGCATTTACAGACTTCGCTCACCCATTCCACGCTGGGCCCACGTGCTGAATAAAGGGACAGAGGCGGCACGTGGCGCCTTCTGAGACTGGAAGCATGGTCTCACCAGATAAATATGAGAGGAAAGTGGGGGGACAGTGAGGCACTTCTTGAGTGACACATATGTGCAGAGACTCCTCAGCTGAGGTGAGACACCAAAATTCTGGGGGAAGTTATCCAAGCAGGGCAAGAGGACCAACGAGGAGCATCAAGGGGGAACTTGAATAACCTCTTCACCTGCGTACAGGGTGAGAGGGTGCTTCTCCCTCCAATCAGCAGCTTAAAGAGAGAACAGGACCCGGATCTTTTCGGGACAATTTTAACCCTATGAAGGATGAGACCTATGAAGTTGTATGGAAGAGTGGGACACTCCCTTTCTTCAGAGACCCTTAAAATTGGATAGATTGTTACATCTGCACCTACATCCATCTATTCAGGTCCCAGAGAATTTTTCCATTTGCTACTCTCTTGTCTAAATTCAGTATAGGAAAACAACAGATTCACTGTCTTTAAGCCTGCTTCTGCAGAGAGGAACAGTTTCAAACTTACCAAGACATGAGAATAATAACTATAGTTTTAGCCTTTTGTGCTCTTAATTCTCTAAATATTTATAATGTAAAATAGGAAATTTAAATTTATATTTATCAGTATTGATCACCATCACATTTATGGAGCTTTGACTAAACAGAATGTTTTTATACTTTACATAATACACAATAATAAAGTGTAGCAGTGTGACCACAGGTCCAGAAGCCAGGCTTGATGTAAATCCTGACTCTGCCACTTACTGGCAGAGGGGGCCTGGATGAGTGACTTAACTTCTGAGCGCCTCAGTTTTCTGGTCTGTGTGTAGGGCTGTAGACCAGCTACTTTATCGGGCGGTTGTCTCTACACGCAAGGCCTTCCCAGAATACCTGACGTGCAATAACTGTTCACAACTGAAAATGTGTTACTCTCACTAAAACATATGATGTGATATCTTTGTTCTGGACATATGTCTCTAAAAGTATGTGTTTGCTGCCAGAAAGACAAGCATATTGCTCCTTGAAGGAAACATCTTGGCTCGTTCAAGCCCCCAGTTAGTATCAAGCCCCCAGTTAGTACCAAGTGACTTAGCTAAAAGGGATTCTTGCTGCATGATTTTATACAAAGTCTGCGCCAAGGCTGATTATGTGTGATCTAGCAAACCTCTACCACCTACTTTTAAAACTATCTCCTTTTCTAAGCCAGAAAGAGAAAGAAAAATACCGGATGGTGTCACTCATAGCAGGAGTATAATGGACCAGGCGAGAAAATAACAAAAATAATGA